AGGCCGGTCTTGTGCTTTGTTATTAAGAATAATTGTTCCTGGGGAAGCTGTCCCATGAATCTCTGTGGACGCTGGCAGGCTGGAGGTCAAGTTGCAAAAGCCTGCACAGACATCTGATAAGAGCCGGATCCGAGGGAATGAGAAAACACAAGAGAGCTCCGAAGGCCCTGAAGCTGGGAGATAAAGTGGAGATCCTCTGATGGCCGTGAGATAATTCTCCAAGAAGGGCATGCACTCCCATCAAACCACAAGAAAAACTGTGTGGAGAGCCCCAGGGCGGTTTGTAGGAAATGAAACCTATGAAGTGCCCAGAGAGATTTCCTCCTCCATTATATCCACTTCACGTACAGTAATAGCTCCACGGAGATTCCTGAATCTCCAGTTGTGCCTCAAATTGCTCGAGGCCGATTGGTGGCTGCAAACATCTTAGTTCATTGTTAAATAGCGTTAACGACGGGATATCTAAGAGCTAGAATGAGTTTAGAAAAGGACACCAAAAATACTTTTGGGAGTGGCGGTACTTCCCCAGTGAGGCTTTTGGTTCAGAAAGAGGTGACTCAGAAGGGAACCAAGACAGAGGACTGCAGAATTACGCACAGTAGAGGAAGTGGATCGAGAGAACACATTTCTCCCCCTCCCACAACAACTGGAATGCAAATTTGCCCTTTGAAAACGGTTGGTGGTAAATTTGAGAATGATAAAAGGAGGCAGACACTTCACACAACACGTGGTTGACCCACAGAACTCACTGCTGCAAGATGTGGTGATGGCTATTGCCTTAAATGGATCTAGAAGGGGGTTAGACCAACATATGGAGGATAGGTCTATCTCTATTAGCCATGACAGCTGAATGGCCTCTTTGAGGTCAGAGGCAGAAGGTATTTGATGATTAGATACCACGCAACACTTCACACAACGTGTGGTTGACCCACAGAACTCACTGCTGCAAGATGTGGTGATGGCTATTGCCTTAAATGGATCTAGAAGGGGGTTAGACCAACATATGGAGGATAGGTCTATCTCTACTAGCCATGACAGCTGAATGGCCTCTTTGAGGTCAGAGGCGGAAGGTATTTGATCGTTAGATACCACGCAACAGAGAGTAAAGAATGCTCTTGCCACAGGCCCTGCCTGCGGACTTCTCTGTGGCCTCTGCTGGATGCTGCACTACATGGACCTCTGGTCAGATCCAGCATGTCTGTTCTTATGTTCTTCTGGCGCAATGGGGCTGGTGGCACAGAGACATCTGTCTTTCATCTCTGCCACAGAGTGGTGTGCCCTAACTTCTCTTGGGTCATCCTTCTTCGGAGTTCCTCTCCATGTCTGCTCAAGTCCTCAACCAACTTGTCTCATTGCCCCAAAACCCCACAGAAAAGCCAAGGAGGAGGAAGTTGGAGGGCACCTAGGAGCCATTGTGTCAACTGTCCAGGCCATCTCTGAATTCCACCGGTCAACCAGAGTTTTGAGAGAAGAACAAGCCACACTAGCACAAAACTCCCCAGATGTGATCAAGAAACTATCTGGATCCATCTGCATTTACGGGAGGACCCGGTGACCTGGCCTCCCACCCCTTTAGAGGTTCTGAGTCCTTTATAGTCTGAACCTCCCCCGATTACGGAGGATGTTGGTATCTGACCCTCAGATTGAGACTATAACCCATTGTATGCTCAGACATCAAGACATTTTGGGAGAGCCTCACAGCTTTTGGAGTCCATGAAATCCTGAGAAAATAAGGCCTCCACAGGAACGTCGAAGTCTTCAAGGACTTTGTGGCAACCATCCTTACATTACTGCCTCTCCTCCAAGGTTCTGAACTAATCTTTGTGATTTTGGCTAGCCCGATCCTGTCAGATCTCAGAAGCTAAGCAGGGTTAGTATTTGGAAGGGCAACCTCCACAGAAAACCAGAGTCATGACACAGAGGCAGGCAATAGCAAACCACCTCCCAAAGGTCTACAAAAGTCTAGCTCACCACTTAGTGGTGCATCATACCAAAGAGCTAGAACTTCTGGCTGCCAGACAGTCTTAGGATCTCCTCGCTAGTCTACACGCAATGCCATATGATTATTATTATTATTCGTAGTATTGGCTTCATGCAAATACAAGTGATTGTCAGCCAATCAGAGCCCATGGAACTCCACAGGATGGGAGGGGCTGAGCCAGCCCCAGCTTAAGAAGGGTGAAGACACCCTTTTTACTTTTGGACAGGATTTTCGTGGCCTGGAAAGGAGCGTCAGCTTAGCCAGGCTTTTATTTGGCTATTTAGTTAGGGTTTGGGGGCTGGCTGAGGGAAGAAAGCGTATTGTAGTGTGACAAATAAGCATCCTGTCCAGGGCCCATCATTCCTAAGTGGTGTGTGGCGGTTCTGTGGAAATGCGCTCTGTGAGTGAAAAGAGCAGCCTCGAACCCGCTGTCCAAAGAAAATCAAATCTCCCCTCAGGGTTTATTCACTTTACTTCAGAACCAGTTTTTCTTTTTATACTGAAGTCGTCCACACATACCAGTTACCCTGTTAAATGTTTTATTTATCTATTTTGTTAAATAAAGCTTTGCTTTTCATTTCCATCTGTGTCTTGTCCGCTGAGCCAAATATCTAAGACAAGGTGACCGCTTCTTACCTCACAAATGAGTACGGCCTTGGTCCAGCAGGTTTCTAGATAAGAGACCTTTCGGTTGTCAATTCCGGGAGAACTCCGGGCCCCACCTGGGGGTTGGCAACGCTCTCTCCCATGCGGCTGATGGCTGTGAGAGAGCTGAGCCTCCGTCTCTCTTCATGGGCATTCCTTTTGCAATTAAAGACTGGGGTCTCAGGCAAGTGCTTGGCGCGACCCGTGCGTTCATCTGACCCTTGGAGACCCTAAGCAAAGTTCTGGGTGCGGGGCTTCCAGGCCTGGCACAGCTCTTAGTGGCAACCTTTGGCGGCAGTGGCCGCCCCAAAAATCCAGAGCAGATTTTGATTAGTTAGGTTCTGTATGTGCGTCCCGATTGTGAACCAGGCCCCGATCCATTTTAAAGAAATGAACTTACTTTTAGTCCTCGAGAGGGAGCGGCCCTCGTCCAAGCAGAGTGCTTCAGCGCAGATTTTCAGATGAACGCACGGGGGTCCCTTTGACGAAATGTGCGCTCTTCATTTGGCAGTGAGAACCACGGGAGGGAAGGTAGAGACTTAAGCAATGGCTGCCAAAGGTTAAAGCTTAACTTCCCAGTAAACTTTGCACTGCTTGCATGGACACAGGCAAGCTTAGGAGAGCGTGAAGGCAAACGTCTGATCGGAACAAAAAGTAACACAAACAGCCAAGTTGAGAAAGCCTTGACTGATGACCGCGAGCAAGAATTACCCATGGGATTTGGCACGGGGCTTGCATTTTGTTTAAACTAGGCCGCTATTTATCTTCTTACTTACTTTTATTTAAACACTGTATTTTCCCCCCTGGGGAGACCCCAAGCAGCTTTTCACACCATTTCCCTCTCCATTTTAACTTCACAATGACCCTGTGAGGTAGGTTAGGCTGAGAGTCAGTGACTG